GTATATTCTAAAATAAATTGATGTGATTATAATAATGCAGAGGTTAGACAACATGCTATTTACATGAAAGAAATATAATAACTGTGCAGATGAGCTTAAATTTAATCTGCTATCATAAGCATTTCAACTTGCAAAATTAGGAACTATGAAGTACATGTTGGAAAATTTATGTATTAAAGTTTTAAGTTTCTGGAGGGCATCCTATCCTGATTATATGAAACACGGTCTTTAAAGTATCCTGAGTAGGTATTTTGGATAAAATAGTCAAAGGAAATAACTCCAGAAGGAAAATATAATTTATACAGCATTGATGATTATATATATGTGTATGTGTGTGTGTATTACTGTTAATATATACATGCATACATTGTATATAAGTAAATATAAACAATAAGTACACATAGATATCTATCTATATATAAAAGCCTAAACAACCCTTACTACCGGTCAACCAGTCATCTGGTCAACCAGTCGCTATGACATGCAATGACCACTGGGGGGGGGGGGCAGATGTTCAACAAAGGAGCTGCCCCCTGTTCGTCAGTGCACTCCCTCAGCCAACCAACATCCCGTGGTCCCTCCCCGCAGCGGGCAGGCCCCAATCAGCCTAATTGTCAGCTAGGTATAGGGACCCCACCCCTGCACCAATTCATGCACTGGGCTTCTATCGATAGTATAAACATAAATAGAACCAGCTTCATACCCCTATTGAGTACTGGCAGAGCATACATTAGCAAAATAGAATAATACAAAGTCATTTTAATGATAATAAGCCCACTTATTAATATTTGGAAATAGGTGCCAGATATAAATTAAAACAGAAAAATCCTGTTGTGGTCCCTGTTTCAGGGACATAAGGAAGCAGAAGACTATCAGTTGCTGCTTCAGGGACATGATATTCTAGAGTCTAAAATAGATCACCATGAATATAAATATTGGCTAAATGAGGTGATTTTAGGTAATAAGTGCTATGAAGGAAATAAAAGGACAAAGGACTAGAGGGGCACCTTGGGCAGAGGGGGTACATAATTTTAGAGAGGATGGTGAGAGGAGGGGGATTCTTCGCTGAGCCAAACTTGTTGAGAGGACCTGCCAGGTGACATGGGGGGTGGGGAAGGAGCACCTCAGGTGGAGGGAACCCACGTTTGAGGACTCTCAGATCAGCAAGAGTGAGCCAAGAGCAGGTCACAGTCGTTAGAGCTGAGAGAATAATTGTATGTTTGTCTAGATTACAATAGAAACAGTTATTTTTGAATGGCCTAAAATAGCTAGACTTTATTTTCTTATGGTTTTAAAAATTTTATATTGGGATTGTGAAAATTATGGCAAAAATACAGAAGTATATGAAACAAATGTATGTTTTAAAGAAGAATGACAAATCACACATCCATAGACCCACCACCAGTTATGACCTAAAACACTATAATGCCCTCCTAGCTTTTGGACTGCGTTGCTCTCCTTGGCTCCCAGTGGTAAAATAAACAATGTGTGAACTTTTGAGATAAGCATTCCCTTGCTAGTCTGTGGTTGAGTGACCTATATTTGCAATCCAAACATGTACTCTAGTGTACCTTGTTTTGAACTTTATATAGAAGATCCATGGTATGTGTGTTCTTCTGTTTCTTGCTTCTTTCTCTCCAAATTGAGGTTCCTTTGTGTTGATCTGTGAGCTTTTACTCTTTAGTATATGAATACACTGTAACTTAGTTATTTGTTCTGTTGACCAGTATTTGTATCCCCCCCCCCCCCCCACCCCAAAGTTTGACTGTTAAATTGTAATCAGGTCTGTTGTAATTTACCTAGAACAACTTCTGGGTTGTAAGATGTCATCAAATGTACTAGACAATGCCCAGTTCCTTCCAAAGTAAACACACCAATCTTTACTCTCACCAGCGATGTGTGAGGCTCTCTGTTGTTCCATGTATAGGATTATACCAACCCTGGAGGTGGCCAGACTTAGTGATTTTTGCCAGTCTGACGGGTGTGTCCAGGTATCTAGAGGTCTTAATTTTCACTTTTATTCTCACTAAGGAGTTTGAGCACCTTTTCATGTAGTTATAGGCCATATGGATTTCTTTCACTTATTTTTCTGAAAGGCTGACTCAAGTTCCACCTCCCCGCCCCATTTTTTTCTTGGGGTTCTGCTTTGCCTCATTATATAGCAGTTTTTTATATCTTCTCTGTGCTCATCTTCCCTTTTTTATGTTTTTTAAGTATTTAAAATTTAAACAGATGAATTTTAATAATCTTTTTATGCTAGTTATCCATTGCTTTGTGAAGGATCACCCCAAAACCTAGTGTCTGAAACAACTTTATTTCAGTTGGGACTCAGCTGACTAGGCAGTGACTGCCTGTCTCCTGTCACAAATTCGTGCATGGGGGAGGGGAGGTCCACTCAGCCCAGCCTGCACCCTCTCCAATCCAGGACCCCTCGGGAGATGTCCAAGGATCAGGCCTAAACCGGTAGTCAGACATCGCACTCACAAGGTTGGCTGTCTAACTGCTGGGGTGATAACGGGGTGACTGAGCCACAAGTCTTTCATCAGCCGGCAGGCCAGCTTGGACTTGTTCACATGGAATTGGGCAAAGGTGTACAGAGCTTCTTGAGGTGGAGGCTCCAAAATAGCAGGTGTCACACTCACCACGTCCTGTTGGCCACAAGCCCTGCTGGTATTGAAGGGGTGGGGGCATAGACCCTGCCACTTGTTGGCGAGGCTGTACATGTCCTTGAACAGAGAAGTGTATGCAGGCAGGGGTAAGAGCTGAGACCATGCTCCCAAACCATTGCGTTTTACATTATCGTTGTGCTTTTCTTTCCTACTCCAAGGGTAAGAAATTAGAATCCGATAGCCTCTTCTAAAAGTTGTAAGGTTTTTCCCTTTAACATTGAAGTGTTTTACAATTTATTTTATTTTATTTTGAAAAGGAAAAATCTGAGAACAGCAAGAGAAACATACATTAGAGAAAGAATGAAGTTTCAAACATGACAGTGGGGGATGTTGATGATGAAGGAGGCTGAGCATCTTCAGGGGCCATGGGTCAAAGAAAAATCTGTACTTTCTGCCCAGTTTTGCTGGTAATATAAAACTGCTTTGAGGCATAGTCCAATAGGAAAAATTAAAAAACAAAAACAAAACTATGACAACAGCTGAAAGAGCTGGTGAGCATTCACTTCTTGTTTGTTAGCTGTAATACAATGAAGAACATATAAAAAAGAACACTTGATTTTACTATCTTACCATCTTATTAAAAACTGCACTTGGTGTTTTGCATTATTCACTTCACTTTCTTGTCTATATTTACTTGTTGTAAGAGGGCATTCTGACCAGCAGTAATGGATTGCATTTTATTTTTTTCAACTTTTTAAAATTTGCTTAACATGAAGTTTTTCTGGAACACAATCTGTCAGCACTCATTGTACTGAGACCAGAGGCATAAGGAGTGCAGGCGTTAGTGAGCAGCTTCTTAGAAAGTGCTTTGGACCTGAGGGAGGATGGTACCCTGGCTAGGGCCTGGGTTTTGGACACATGGCCTTCAAGTAGAATTCAGCCTTTGCTGTTGCAGTAGCTGTGCCACTTTGTGCAAATAACTTACTATCTCCGAGTTTTAACTCTCCATTGTAAAATGGAGATCATCTTTATTTATCTTTCAAGAGTATTGAATGAGATAGAAAAAAATATTATCTAGCATGGCATGTGGCCCATAAAATAACATTAGCCTAGATTAGAAGTAGGTTTTCCACTATTTTCTGTTAATCTCCAGTAAGAAAAGATGAGGACTTCTATAGGTCTTTTGCAGAATGAATTCTTTTCCCATAACTGCCCCACTCTGCCAACCTGGTCACCCCTCACTGCCTCCCTCTGCCACCTGGTTGCCCCTCACTGCCCCCCCCCCCCCAACCCCCCTGCAGGCCTGGTCCCCCCCCACCTGCCCCCCTGTGGGCCTGGTCACTCCATGCAGCCTGCTGTTTGGTCATTTGGTCGCTCCTCACCCCCCTGCCGGCCTGGTCACCCCTTGCAGCCTGTTCTGTTGTCTGTTCGATTGCCATGGTCGCTTAGGCTTTTATACATATAATTTTGTATCAGTTTCAGGTGTGCAGGATAGTGGTTAGACAACCGTATACTTTACCAAGTGTTCACCCCGATATTTCCAGTACTCACCTGGCATCATACATAGTTATTATAATACTAGAGGCCTGGTGCATGAATTCGTGCACAGGCAGGATCCAGCAGGCTAGCCCCAATGGGGGCCAATTGGGGTTGGGCTGGTGGGGGGGACGGACACTATGGGATATTGGCTGCTAGCCCCGCCCCCCATTGGGGTGGGGGAGGTGGTTAGGAGTGAGGCCAGGGGGAGGGGTCGCCTAACAGGGTGGGGGTGCTGTGGGAAGTTGGGGGGTGGCGATCGGGACTCTGAAGCCACAGTGGACTTCATAGTGACCAGTCCTTCCTGTTGTTCTGGTCGTTTGCCATTCCGGTTGCTTGGCAATGTATATAATTGTCGATATATATATAATTATTGACTGTATTTCCTATTCTGAACTTTATATCCCCAACTATTTTGTAACTACCAATCTTTACTTCAGAGACTTACGTTTGAAACCTTGGTAGCCAGCCGGATCTCTTGGAGCCCTGGGAGATACTACCAGGGGTGTGTGTTCATGGTCCTCACTTTTGAATCAGGCAGGCTCTAACCTGAATAAGCAGAGAAAAGAAAAGCGTTTTAGGGAACTGGGTGAAGCAGTCGAATCTCTGAGGAAGAAGAGACTGGGGTGGAATACACATTTCTCCAGCACCTGCTCTCTGCCAGAATGTAGAGTGGAAGACAGAAGCCGCAGGAGAGAGCACCAGGGATGATGGGCCCCTTGGCAAAGCAGTTGTGTTGTGCTCCTTCGCAGATTGACTGGAGGAGAGCTCTCTAGCTCTCTTGGCCTTAGGAGGAATCTTCTAAACCTTGAGGTAAAATGAGGACCCACCTCATGATTAAATCTTTCTTTCCAGGTCTTTCGGCAGCCCAGCGGAAGTTTGCTCACTCGCTCAGAGACTTTAAATTTGAGTTTATCGGCGATGCGGAGACCGATGACGAACGCTGCATCGGTATGTGAAGGGGAGGGTTTGGTTTGCTCTCCTCTGCTTTGTCCGCCAGATAACAATTCCTTTCTCTTGACAGATGCTTCCTTGCGTGAATTTTCCAACTTTTTGAAGAACCTGGAAGAACAGAGGGAAATCATGGTGAGTTGTGGGATGTCAATGAATAAATCCAACTTTGAGCAGGGAAAAAAAAATCAGGTTTCTATTTCCTTAGTGGTGCTGACCACTGTGGCAAGATTTTAGAGAAGTTCCTGGACTTCTGGACCTGTTTCTTGATCAGTAAAATAGTGAGTCAGACTATATCACTGCCATCTAGATGTTCATCAACACTTGGATTTTACATTTAGGGGTGGGGAATGTCCGGCCCTCGGGCTGTCTGAGGTCTGGGAAATCATTTGGTTTGGCCTTGCCAGATTAGTAGGGGTGAGTTAATTAAATGTTTGACCAAATAGAGCAGGCTAATTTTTAAGATGATACTGTTGTGTAGCCTGTGAATGATGTTATAAATATCCAGATGGCCCTTGGCAGAAAAAAGGTGCCCCACCCCTGATATAAATTGGGTCTCATGCAGAACCTTAACGTATCAAAAAGATAAAAGCAGAAATGCTTGTGTAGAAGAAGCACAGGGACAGCAGGGCAACGTTAGAACTATATCTGTCGATTTCTAGGCTGTGTGGAGAGGGAGGGAACTCAGGCCTGGAAATCTTTAAGATCCCACTTTGCCTTGAAAATCGAGATCCCCACAGTAATGATAATAGCTACACTTCATTGGGTGCTCTCCATGTGTGTGATGCTATGCTGAGTGCATTGAATAATCATGTTATTTACGCCTAGCAATGCAGTGTAATTGAATAATACTTTCTTAAAAGCTTGCATTTCCCACCAAGTGACTGATATTCATTGCACAAAAATTTACAGTAGAATTGGCACTGGAGTAGGACACACAGTTCTCACCATCTTTTCAGGCTTTCAGAGGGCTTGTGAAGGCACTGTGGTCCTGTTAGGTTTTTCTGGCACAGACTGACATAGTCAACCATTGTTCATGTGATCCTGTAGTCACTGATTTTTTCAGCTGTTTAGGCAAGTTTACATGTGAGAATGGATGAAAGTAGTCCTGTAACATCCCTTTGCTGCTACATGAAGTGGGTGTGAGTGTGTGGCTGGTGGTGAGGCTGCATGTTCGTAGTCTTTGTTAATAGCCGTGGACTTTTGTCTCAGTACTCTGCTATTTAGCTGTGCTTTCCTGGGAGCCTGAGCCTTCCACATATATGTATCAGATCGTCTTTTGCCTTTTGTGTTCCAGTAACTGATTAAAATCTGAACACAGAGGCAAAGCCAAGTCCCTGCCCTCAGGGAGATTACATACTAGAAAGGGGAGATGATGATGATAATTAAAAAAACACCCATATAATACATTGTCAGGTAGTGATAAGTGCTACAGAATTTAATAAGGAAGGATACTTAGCCAGAAGGTGGGCCCCAGTACTGTTATACCTAGAGTTGGGAGGGAAGGCCTTTGCACAGAGAACTGCAGGAGGCATCCAGGTATCTGGGGGAAGATAGTACTGGTCAGGTTGGTGCTCAGTTTTAGCTCTGCAGGAAATTCTGTGTGACCAGTTGGTCTTTTTTTTTTTTTTTTTTTTTTAAATTCTCACCTGAGGATATGTTTTTTATTGATTTTAGAGAGAGAGGAAAGGAGAGAAAGGAGGGAAATATCCATATGAGAGAGAAACATCGATCAATTGCCTCCTGTACATGCCCTGATGAGGGATTGAACCCTGGGATCCAACCCACAATGTAGGTACATGCCCTGACTGGGGATCGAATCTGTGGCCTTTTGGTGTATAGCAGGGGTGGGGAACCTTTTTTCTGCCAAGGGCCATTTGGATATTTATAACATACAGAATGCTCAGCTTAAAAATTAGCCTGCTATATTTGGTCAAACATTTAATTAACTCACCCCTCATGCCTTGGCAGGGCCAGGCCAAATGATTTGGAGGGCCTTTTACGGCCCGAGGGCTGGACATTCCCCACCCCTGATTGTACAGGATGACACTCCAACCAGCCCAGCCACATAGGCCACTACTCCCTGTCTTGATATTCTTCTGTTTCCGTTTTATGTTCCCGAGGTGAAATGACTAGGTCAAAGAAACCGGAATGTGGTCTTCCCTCCAGGCTGTCCATGGCTCTCCGAGCTGAGTTAGGGGATTTATTGATTTAATCTTCAGTTGTGATGGGGGTTGACAGGGTATCTGTCTTAGATAGGAGGAGGATGACTGGGCTAGGCTCTAACTTCAGGGTAGAAGTAAGACTGGAATGTTGACCATATAAAGCAATGAGCCTCAGAGAGGAATGGGACAGTCTCTTATAACCCTCTGTGGGAACAGGACAGTAACACCTGCTGGATAGCAGGAAACTATTCAAAGTCAGCAAGCAGTGGGGGCAGCTGTGACCAATCACAGGATTAACAGGACATCTGGATATCAAATTATCTTTTTTCCCCTTTGACGTTTTAGTTTGGAAAACTTTGAGTGTGTACAGAAGGTAGAGAGAAAATTGTAACTAAACTACATGTACTCATCACTCAGCTTCAAAAACCATTGCCACATAACCGATCTTGTGTCTCTGCTACCTCTTAACTGCCACCTCCATTATTTTGATAGAGAGCCCAGGATCATCCATAAATACCTTTGTGCGTAGCTCTTAAAGATAACTCGATAACTCTTTGAACCACAGTATCCTTGTCTTACCTAAAAACAAATAACAGTTCCTTAATATTATAAAGAATTAGGTTGTACTCCCATTTTTCTGATATCCATCCACATTTTGTTGCCCCTTCCCCAGCCCCAGTCTCTCCCACCCCCTCCCCCAGTAACAGTGGGTTTGTTTGAATCTGGATCCAAACAATATATTTGATTGATAAGTTTCTAAGTCCCTTTTAATCTATAGGTTCTTCCTCCTTTTTTTTTCTCCCCCCTTGATAAGAATTCCTGGTGTTTTGTTAGCTTTAAAGGCCCTTTATGGCATTATTTTCTGAGTTAACAGTGATAATAATCTATAAAAGCAGGCACCGACAGCTGGGGGAAGGAAGGCCTACTCTTGTGTGAATTTTGTGCATTGGGCCTCTAGTGAAGTTAATAAAAGATAAAAAGTTTGGCATTTAACCAATATTGATGTCTTTTGGGTGTTTCTGCCTAATGTTAATAGTCAGTGATCACTTTTTTTTAAGCATGTAAATTGTAAGGAATTATTATGGCTAACTTTGTTCCTTTAAGTTGCCTTGAATACTTAGGGGAAAATTTTTTTTCTATGCTTTACTAGACACCAGCCTTAAACTTTTGCATAAGAAAAGGTACCTCTCTCAAGAAGTGTCCAATGTGGTTGTGGAAACTAACTGGTAAAAAAGCTAATCAAAATACATGACAGTCAGTGCAGTAGCAGAGGTATGGAGCGTGGCTGCATGGAGTGGGAGCAGCTAAGCCCGTGCTGCTCAGGAAAGACCGTCTGGAAGAAGTGGTATTTGAGCTGGAGTGTAGGGGACAGAGATGCCAAGGAGAGCCTTTGTATCATTTCATCAGCTCTCACCTCCCCAGCACAGAGACAAGGAGATAAGGGTGGTCTTTAAACAGGTGGATGCCAAATTCATCCTGTGAACTTTTAAAAACTCTTATTTTACGTCAAATATTGCAAACCAGCAGCATGTTAAAATAGCCACATATTTAAAAAGGAATGGCAAATGACAGCTGTAAATCGAGGTAGAAATATTCTAAAATTGGAGACACCATTCCTGAGCTGCGTTTACAGGTGGATCAGAGTTAGGCAGGCAAGGAAAGATGGAAGGGAGGGTCGTTTTCTCCTTGGGGAAAACAACTCGATTTTGGAAAAGAGGGAGGTGTGTGTTTGCCTGTCCCCCACTGGTATCCAACTCTGTAGCTGTGAACTGAAGTGTCGGGAAGGGAAGTGGAAAGAAGGCCCGTCTAGCCAGCCAGAGTTTTCCCTCCAGGCACGGAAGTCTGGTTTCTATGAATGGTTGTGCCTCGCCCCATAAAAGGCCAATATTGTCCTTTTTCAGGACAGTGTTTTCAAGTAAGTTGTTTGTGCTGAAAACATTGCCAACCGTGCCTGTGAAAGTGAGGAGCCGGGGCCGTGAGCGGCCAGCATTGCTCTGCCGTGGTCCCTGCATGTTCTCGGAGGGAGGGAGCCACTGCGTGGTGTCTCCACCAGCATTCCGGAGATGCTCTCTCTGGTGATGCAGGACAGGGTGTCCTTATCCCAGGCGGGCTGCTGGCCAGGAATGTAAGGACTTTTAAAATAGTGCTGTCGTGTTTCAAAGGGCTTCATCCTGTATTTACTTCTCCGCATGGTATCCTTTTATCGTAGGAGTTAGTTTTGTCCTCTGAAACACGACTGCTCAGTTTCTGGGGGTTGTGCGAGGCCCAGAGGCCCAGGAAAGCTTTGGGGAAAGGGGGTAACCGGAGAGAGGGGGTCTAGCTTGCCTGATGATGCACAAAAGCGCCCCCCTCCCCATGCCACTGGGCTGGCAAGCCGGCGAGGGGGGGGGGTGTCTCTTCCACCAGCTGCATCCCTTTCCCACCTGAGCAGGATGGCCCTGTGCCTGCACAGACTCTGGAGGTGGCTGAGACCCTCTTCCGCTTATTCCATGTTGTTTTTCCCACCACAGATTTTACTCTCGTGAAAACACTGGCTTGGGGAAAGCTTGCTGGGTGATTTGCCCTGAGCTTATGCCAGATAAGGAAGGCCCTAGCCTCTGAGAACCAAACACTTGTTGTTAATAGTTTAATAAATCTGTGGTGAGCAAACTGCAGCTCGCGAGCCACATGTGGCTCTTGGGCCCCTTGAGTGTGGCTCTTCCACAGAATACCACGGCCTGGGCGAGTCTGTTTTGAAGAAGTGGCCTTAGAAGAAGTTTAAGTTTAAGTTTAAATTTCTCCAAAGAAATTTCAATCGTTGTACTGTTGTTATTTGGCTCTTCGATTAATGCGTTCGCCGACCACTGGTTCCAGGCAAGACACCAGCATTCCCTCAATCCTTGTCTGATTTGCTTCACTCCTTTCTCATCATTTCTTTCATTGTCTCAAATTTCTTACAGTCATGTAGTTAAGTGGTTTCTATATCTTTTG